TTGCAATCTACTGCAAATCTAACCTAAAAATTCGACCTTTGACAGTATCCTCTAGTTCAGAAACGGAGTTTAATATTGCTGAAATCTCGATGGTATAACAAGTATATTACTTTCGTGTGTTTTTAATCCCCATAAAAGTCATTTGTTGGACTCATTTTTGCTGCAATTTTTATGTATATAATTGACTATCAGTTGTATGTTATTTGTGTTGATCTGAATGTGAACCTCCTACTGAATGATTCATATGCTGTTAAGTTACGTGAACATGTATCTACTTCTGGATTAGTAATAGTGAACAAACTTTTCCACTTTTTCAATAACTCAAATCCTAGCCTACTGGACTACTTTATCACCTCTAGCCCTAATCATGTCTTAAATTTGACCAAATAGGTTTTGTAACTGATTATGACTTAATTTTTTTACGGTTCGGGCTGTTAATGAATCTTGTCCATGGTTTANTAACCTAAAAATTCGACCTTTGACAGTATCCTCTAGTTCAGAAACGGAGTTTAATATTGCTGAAATCTCGATGGTATAACAAGTATATTACTGTCGTGTGTTTTTAATCCCCATAAAAGTCATTTGTTGGACTCATTTTTGCTGCAATTTTTATGTATGTATATAATTGACTATCAGTTGTATGTTATTTGTGTTGATCTGAATGTGAACCTCCTACTGAATGATTCATATGCTGTTAAGTTACGTGAACATGTATCTACTTCTGGATTAGTAATAGTGAACAAACTTTTCCACTTTTTCAATAACTCAAATCCTAGCCTACTGGACTACTTTATCACCTCTAGCCCTAATCATGTTCTTAAATTTGACCAAATAGGTTTTGTAACTGATTATGACTTAATTTTTTTACGGTTCGGGCTGTTAATGAATCTTGTCCATGGTTTTCTGAAAGAGTACGCCAAGCTATAAGTAAACGTAATAAGCTACATGTAAAATGGAAAAGGGCATTGACAGTTTTTGCCTGGTCTCAATATAAAAGTGCTCGCAATAAAGCCACTGCTATCATAAGACAGGCGAAGCATAATTACTGTTATGCCAAGCTGCACCTATCAATTCCGCCTAAAGTTTTGTTGCGCAACTTAAAAAATCTTAAGGTCCATGGAAGTCTGAAACCAGACTGTGACTTAGATGCCAATGTTTTAAATGAATATTTCTCCTCTGGGAAAAGTAATACTGTTCCTCCAACCTCGCGAACCTTTCGGACTCAGGGTAATTTTGAAATGGAATTGAAATTTGAGGGAGTTAGCGAAGGTGAAGTCCTGAGGGCTGTGTTTGGTATTCGATCTGATGCTGTTGGTGAAGATGGGATTTCACTGAAGTTCATAAAACTCGCACTGCCATTCATTGTAGGTACGATTACTCACATAATAAATCATGTATCACAGTGATTTTAGACCAATCAGCATACTGCCAGTGCTTGCAAAAGTATGTGAGTCCTTAATGGCAGCGTAAATCTCGTCCCACATCCAGAAAAACAATTTATTATCACCGCTTCAGTCCGGGTTTAGACCAAAACATAGTTGCTCCACTGCGGTGATGAAAATACTTGACATAAGGATACATTTTGACAATAATGACTTGACTCTTCTTTGCCTCTTAGATTTTTCTAAGGTATTTGACATGGTTAGCCATGACCACCTTTGCAAGAAATGAAAATTTTTCTGTGGGTTTTCGGAATAAAATTTATGACGAGCTATTTTGAGCTCGTCGAGATTGTTTTTCATCAACGCTGTGAGACTTTGGACTAATATACCAGAATCTGTCAAGTCTGTGTTAAATAGAGGTAACTACAAATTGCTAATATATAACTATTTTGGGTCACTGCGATGAGTGTGATTGGAATAATATTCTTTCTTTTCCTTTCATCTATCTCTCTGAACTCATTTTCATCTACCTATATGTTTAATTGTGCTTATGATTAGTTAAGGCTTTACTTATGTTTTGTGTTAGTGCTAAGCTTATTTTATTTTAATTTAATTTAATTTGTTACTCAATAATAAAATACCAAATGCAGTTGATGTACTTTAAAAAGATTCTTATCTTATTTGTACCACCACTTTTGTTCAAATAAATAAATAAATAAATAAATAATTAGAATTTCTAGCAATTTGCATGAAAACCCCATAAATAAACAAAGTAATCAGAAAAACGTATGGAACTTCGAAATTAACGCTAAGAAAATTGATAACAGCCGGTTTCACTAGCAATTTCCATATAAAATTCAAAAAGTTAATATCATTTATCACTTAAATTGCTTTCGTGAAATTGGCTGCAAAATTATTTTCTTAGCGTTAACGCGCGTTACCAGCGTTGACTTGGAAGGTTTAGAAAAACCATTGTCGAATAATTTCCCAATATTGACTCTGAGGATGACTTCAGCTGGATAACAAACCCATTTTCATGTGGCCAGAAAAGAAACNATTCAAAAAGTTAATATCATTTATCACTTAAATTGCTTTCGTGAAATTGGCTGCAAAATTATTTTCTTAGCGTTAACGCGCGTTACCAGCGTTGACTTGGAAGGTTTAGAAAAACCATTGTCGAATAATTTCCCAATATTGACTCTGAGGATGACTTCAGCTGGATAACAAACCCATTTTCATGTGGCCAGAAAAGAAACCCTACTGAGATGACCAATTAAGCTTTTGAAAACCTTCTGAACATCAGTGAAGACAGCACTTTGATTATTAAGTACTACGAAGGGAGCCAAGAGAGTTCTGGATGCAAGTGTATGTAGAAAACACTGCCATTGGCAAAAATGCATTAAAAATGCTAGTGACTTTTAAGCCCTTATTATGAGTTGCATTCGATTTTCGATCTTCGCTGGTTATCAAAGATCGAACATCGAAAGTGAGAATAAAATCGTCAGCGGTTTATAGTTTTAAAACAGTCATGCCCAACGTCGGCATAACTCCATAAGCAAGTGCCCTGCGCTGGCAGTATTGCATATGCAAGTGTCCCTGCGCTGGGCATGACTGTTTTAAAATATTTTAAATAGATTTGGCTCACAAGCGCCTCTTTAGACAGTCGGAAGTTTTTAATAAACCTGTAGAAAAATTTCTTAAATATATTTTATGTCAAAATATATTCGAAAGACAACACTTAAACCCTCTTAAATATTTTCTACTCCTGGCCAGTTTACCAAGCTCTCATCCTCGACGAACCGTTGAACAAGAACTCCGTTGTATTCAATTTTTACCACGTTTTTATAAACTCGCTTTTTTATTTCATTTTAATTTGCACAAATTTACATACATATGTATAAGCACGCTCTTTAGTTTGCACGATTTGTAAAAAAAAAGCTTCTCAGCGGTGAAAAATATATTATTGTGAACAAGCGCTATTCTTCATCGAATGAGCGTCATAATACCAAACGAAAATTCGTTGGATCAGCAATTTCGATCACAGTCGAATGCAACTCGTAGTAGGGACCTTACTTTTACATTTCTATGTGAGACTGCATTTTCAACAAATGCTTACATAAACAAGTAATTTTTAAGAGAAAAAAAACAAAACCGATTTCAATTCCCATTTAAGAATTTTAGATTATCGTTAATCTATTCATGATCAACTGATCAGATTTAAACCAAATGAGACCACCTGTCAAGTAACACCTTTCCTTTAAAAAAGAATTATAGTAATCGGTTAACGTGGTCCAAAGTTATGCGGCAACATACTGTTACGTTTATCCTTGAAACCTCGAGGGATTTCCCAAATATCCTTCGGTTCGTATCTCTGGATTGTTAAATAAATGCTAACGATGACCAAATTGTAGTACAGTTAACTTTATTGTACAACAAACAATTTACAATACTCGCTAATACAGTAAAAACACTTACAATACTTGTTAAAGCAATACAACGCTTTAATAAAATTGTTAATACAATTAAACTTATAGCTTACTTGTAGCTTGCTGCCTCGTAACTCACTCACTTCGCTGTGGCGGCGCCCTTATATACCTGCGCTCGCACTTAAGGCAACTCTAGAACGTTCTGAAGTTTATCGCTACATTCTCTTTCTCTCGCTGTTCGCAGTGTTCATCCAACTTGACGTTTCTCTTTGTGGAACATTCTACGTCATTCCTCGAACATTCTGCCTATTTCTCGTTGTTCGCTTTGTATTGCCGCTGTATTCACCACACTGCCCTCCACCTAAGTCTGATCGGCCCCATCAGACATACTTGCCGCTCCAACCGCTGCAAGTCTTTTCAAGTGGACCACTTTCATCTTGGTCCTCGGTCTCTCCATTGTCTGGATTTGACGTACTGCGTCCTTCAGCCGTTTGTTAATCTTCGAATGTTTCCAGTCACGTCATTGCTTGGAGTTGAAGCTTTTCTTCTGCTGCGACAAGTACAACTACCATGCGTTACAGGACATTGCTTCCGGCTTATCTCCGGGAGTGCACCATCTCACATGGTCGTGCTTCTGCCGGCCACTGGTGGTGACCAGACCATGCCTTTTCTCGTCGGCACCCTTTTCGCCAGATCCATGCCGCATCATCTGTTCATGATACCCAGGCTCCCGCCTTCGTGCTGCACTGCCGTTAGCACATCTTGCTACATCCGGATCCTTACGCTGAAGCTTCCGCCGTCGTTTCGTATTTCGCTCTTCCGCCGATGCTAACTTCATTGACCGGACATGTGTAATCTCACCCTTGGCTTCCGGCTTAACTGCTCGCCTTTGCCAACCACCTTTTTCTGTACACTTCAAAGCGCGCCTACTGCTTCCACAGCCGCTTCCATTTCCGGCCACCGGCGTATCACCATTGCAACGTGGTTCAGTGGCTTTCCTCCTGCCGGAATCACTTCCTGGCTCACCATGACTACTTCCTTGTTGCGATCTCTTCTTCACTGAGCTGGTGGAACCGTCACGCTTTTCCTGTAGCGGTGAACCACTTCCTTCTCCTGACGAAACCATTTCGTCTCCATCTCTGTCAACATCTGCCCAACTAACCACTTTCGTTTCTGGTGGAATCTTCGGCACTTCCTCTAAGACCAACCGTCTGCTGAAGCACTGGTTGTCATAACCAACCCCAAGTGGCACTTTCCTGTCGCCATAGGTTAGGATCATTCCCTGGAGGTCAATCATCATGCCTCGCCCAAGTAGGAAATCCACGCTGATGATGACTTCATCCACAATATCTGCCACAATAAACCTCGTGTACGAGGCCAGCCCGTCGATTATTACCTCGCAAAGTACTTCTCCTAACACTTGGGTTCGCTCACCAGTTGCAGTGTGCAGCTTTGCCCCAGGTAGTGGCTTCACATAAAAAGTAGTCACATCAGGTCGAATAATGGATTGTAACGCTCCAGTATCCACTGTCAGCACTCGCACCTGCCCATTCACACATCCCCCAATAGTGAGGTTGCTCGCATTCCGGCCAATTTGAGAGACGGAGATTATGGGCCCTTCAACTTCTGAAGCCAGCACGCGGCCCCTCGNCCAGGTAGTGGCTTCACATAAAAAGTAGTCACATCAGGTCGAATAATGGATTGTAACGCTCCAGTATCCACTGTCAGCACTCGCACCTGCCCATTCACACATCCCCCAATAGTGAGGTTGCTCGCATTCCGGCCAATTTGAGAGACGGAGATTATGGGCCCTTCAACTTCTGAAGCCAGCACGCGGCCCCTCGTGCTGGCTCGTTTTAGTTTAACGACTGATTGGAGTTGGATTCGTCTCCCTCTGCCCTGCGTTTGCGCCCTACTGAATTGTTGAGCCCATTGGAACTTGCACTGCAATCGCGGGTGAAGTGACCTGGCTTTCCACATTTAAAACAATTGCCAGATCCATGCTTTTTCTCGACCAGCGGTTGGATTAGCTTCTTCAGCATTTCATTTGTCTCGTCCGGTGTCTCCACTTCCACTCGATGGGCTTTGTACGCTGGTCTACTTAGGAGCGCCGCCGTTTCACGNTGCCCTGCGTTTGCGCCCTACTGAATTGTTGAGCCCATTGGAACTTGCACTGCAATCGCGGGTGAAGTGACCTGGCTTTCCACATTTAAAACAATTGCCAGATCCATGCTTTTTCTCGACCAGCGGTTGGATTAGCTTCTTCAGCATTTCATTTGTCTCGTCCGGTGTCTCCACTTCCACTCGATGGGCTTTGTACGCTGGTCTACTTAGGAGCGCCGCCGTTTCACGATCTGGTAGATCTGTCGCCGGTGCTCGCTACCATAACGTCTTTCCACTGCACCCATTAACGCGTTGTAATTGTTCCTTTCGCAGTCCGGAATAGTCTGCAAGATTTCCGCTGCAGGTCCTTTTAATGCGACAAATAACGCAGCAGATTTATCCTCCATGCTCCAACGATTTGCTGTAGCCGTTAGTGTTAAAGACCTGGAAAGGAATCGTGCCGTCAAAAGATGGGGTATTTACCTTAGGAGCGTTCGTCGAAGTAACTGGACGATTCAGCTGTAAATCACGAAGACGACCTTCCAATTCTTCTACCTTTGCTTCGACTTTCTCCTGTCTCTCTTCAAGTTTGTCATGTAATTTTTTTATCCTGTAGCTGAGTTTCTAAATGGGATGACACCTGCGATGACACCTGCGCTGATACCTCTGAAGATATACGTGTCTCCAGCGCTTGTATCTGTGACGACAGCTGTCATGACATCTGTGACATGCGTGTATCCTGTGCATGCATTATCTGTGACATGGCAGCCAATAACGTGTTCATGTCCATAGCTGTTGATGACGAAGGAGCCTTTTGCTGTTCTTCAACCTTCCCGGATGTCTGATGCACATCCTTCGACGAACATGCAGCCTCATCCTTCTGTTCGTCATTTGCGGATGCATCGTCGGGTTTACCCTGGAAGTCGTATTTGTTCACGTCGATGCCTTCAGCTTCCATACCTCTCGCAACCGGGATAACAATTCCACTTTTCTTCCGGAGGTGGCCAAATTACGCTTTTCCAACTCCTGTTTCAGCTCCTCAATTTTTAAGTCCTAAATTTTCGCCATTTTTAGTAGTTCCTCATTCGGGATTTATTTAAAAATCCCACTTCTGACACCAATTGTTACGATTATCCTTGAAACCTCGAGGGATTTCCCAAATATCTTTCGTTTCGTATCTCTGGATTGTTAAATAAATGCTAACGATGACCAAATTGTAGTACAATTAACTTTATTGTACAACAAACAATTTACAGTACCCGCTAATACGGTAAAAACACTTTACAATACTTGTTAAAGCAATACAACGCTTTACAAAACTTGTTAACACAATTAAACTTATAGCTTGCATATTTGCAACTCACTTCTCTGCTCACTTTACTTGTAGCTTGCTGACTCGTAACTCACTCACTTCGCTGTGGCGACGCCCTTATATACCTGCGCTCGCACTTATGGCAACTCTAGAACGTTCTGAAGTTTATCGCTCATTCTCTTTCTCTCGCTGTTTGCAGTGTTCATCCAACTTGACGTTTCTCTTTGTGGAACATTCCACGTCATTCCTCGAACATTCTGCTAATTTTCGTTGTTCGCTTTGTGTTGCCGCAGTGTTCGCCACAATACATAGAAAAAAATAATAAAAAAATATTCCGACGAATTGATAACCTTCTCCTTTTTGTAAAGTCGGTTAAAAACAAATACATCAGCAAGCTTTCAGCGTCAAATGATTTCAGGGTAAAATTGTCAAAGCTCCCAATAAACTTAAAGAAAACAATGAAATCATCAAAACAATTTCAGTCTTCACATTAAAGCTAAAGGAGCATAAAGTTTTCATTGTGTTTTCTTGTTTTCGTATACATTTGAAGAGTAGGGGTGCCGCGAAATTTTTTTAGCACAACAAGGGTTCCGAGGTGAAAAAAGCTTGGAAACCCCTGATCTAAAGAATCATTTAAAATATGTAGGCAATCGGAAGCTCCTTAGGATTCCAGTTATATGAGTTTTAAATGGAGCACGATATGTTCGCCTTTTATCGATCTACATGCATATGTAGTAGGTATATAAAATTTGTGCAATAAAGGCGGGCTCACTGTTCGTGTCCGGACAACTTTTTATTTGCTCTAAAAACCTTTTTGCCAGAGAGGGTGCTGAAATACGGTTCTTCGTTCAGTTCGGCACATTTTATTTTGCTCTCAAGCAAACAGCTGATGATCTTGTTGCCTACATGCGATTTTGAAGTTTGCAATTCGCTGCAAACGTATATAAAGGAGAACGCGGCAACCCGAATCATCAAATCGTTCGGACAGAAAATCGAAATCAATTTGATTCGAACAATTAGTGTTCAGCACATTTTTGTCGTTCTCTCAATGAGACGGAGTGGGAATGGAGCGCGTGAAATTACTAACAAAAAGTGTCCGGACACGAACGATTAATCCGCCTTAAAACGTTCGAAAATTAACGCAATAGCCTAAAATACACTTTTGGAAATGAATTTATAAAATAAAGATATTTAATTACGAAAACTAAAGCGGGATCGAAAAGTTTTATTTATTTTTCAAACATAATACTTCAACAAAAACCTGCCAAAATGAAAAAGTTATCTTTTTACCAACCCAAATTTGTTCTACCAATTTTGCTAACAATTTACCAAAGTGGCAATCCTGGTTATTATACCATTTCATGCTCATGAAAGGTATAAGAATAATTTTTGAAGAGCTTGCAAGCGATATAGCACAAATTTTCAGCAAACGATTTCAGAGGATAAATTTATCAATCTTAAAAAAATATAAAGAACTACCTGCCATGTTCACTTTGTTTGTAAATGATTCATATATACATATGTAGGATATATATTAGCCGTGTTTTTTTACACGCATATACATCTACGCCTAACGTGTAAAAAAACAAACATCGACAATTTCCATTTGAAAACAAGTAATTTTGATTTTATCGACAACTATTCATAACCGCTCATAAAGTTTGTCGCTTACTGCTCCATACAAATTTTAACCGCAGATACGTATGCGTGTAGAAAAAACACGCTTATTCTTATAGAAAAATTTGATTAAAATCAGTAATGATACTATTATAGATTTCGAATGTGTGTATATACCTGTAAACTGTAGCATGTACTTCATGTCTGTACTTCTCCGCTGTAAAGGGATAGAACATAAGACTACCATTCGAGAGTGTAAATACCATATCTTGTTGTGGAGGTATTGGGGTCCATTCCACCTGCAAATAATACAATTATTAAGAAAACATGCTTTGAATCAATTCCAATATTTAGAAGAATTATGGTGGTTTCGTTGCTTCCAGAAAATGATGACCTTGCACGGTGCAAAATGTGTTTGAGATTACACTCAACCCCGTAAAAGGGCATGGTTTTGCCTTCTTATCCTTGTCTAGCTCACACGTTTCATAATATTGTGGTTTTAAGCAACCATCTGATTTTCAGAGCAACCATCTCCCCTGAAAAAGCTTCAAAGGGCAGAAATTTCCCTTTTTTCCTTACAGTGTTACTGTGAAATTTTAAGAAACGAACCCGAAATTTTCTCACTGTGTGCCCTTATTTTAAAATCGACCACAAATAGGGCAATCAAAAGTCGAAATTTTTGGTAGAAACGAAAACACCAATACTCACCTCTGGAGGAGGACTACCATGTCCAGAGCATTCAATCAAACCTCCAGTATTATTTGAAAATTCGATGCGATGTGGTGGCTCATGAAGAAATATTGGTCCCTGCAGGTCAAGCCCATTTGCAATTGTGCCAAGATCAGCTGTGGACAGAAAATAATGAAATATTGGAAGACTATCTTAATTACTGACTTTTTTGTGTACTCGGATTACAATCAGGACTTAAATGTACAGTTCAATATTAAACAAGTAAAGAAGTATAAGTTCGGGCGAAACCGAACTTTATATACCCGGCGCACGTATCAAATATAGTGTTTTCACAATTCTGTAAACCAGGGCTTCCTAAAATAGGTTCAGCGGAACCGAAGGGTTCCGTGCAAAAGTCACCAGGGTTCCGTGAAATTATTAATATTTGGCTGTTCAATAATTCAACAGATACATACTTAAGTACAAATCAGGGCTGGTTCGTTTACCATCGCTTAAATTTCGGTATGAATAAACACGTCGGTCGGCAGTCGGCTTGAGTTGCACACGCAAGGAAAAGTTCTGCAAACAGCATGACCGTGACGCAATCATCTATTTTCAAGTACATGTACTAGAGATTTAGGCCGATAGAAATAGCGGCGGCGCGTCGTCAATCTTAGAAATAATCGGCGGCAGCGGCGATGCCAGCGTCTCAAATTGCGCCGGCGCATCTGGCCATTAACCACATACCAAAGAACATAGGAAACCAATTCTTATTAAATTGTAACGCAACAAACTAAAAAGACCCCAAATAATTGGTGACAGGTAATAAGAGCAACGGAAATAAGGTCAATTGACTTTATTTCGAAATAAAATCAATTGACATTATTGCTCTTTCAAACACTAAATTTGCTTAGTTTCGTGGCGGTCCGCGTCATCGCGCCACACCGCGAACGTCGCGCTCGCGCTCGCGCCCCGCGTACCCCACGCGACCGGCGTGCACACCACGTCACGCTACGCCGCGGGTTTGTGTTTCAAAAGGTTCCGGTTATTAAATCGGTTCCGATATTAAATAATCAATAATTGTTTACACCCGCATTTTGGCACATTGGCTCGTTGAATGTGCGCCCCCCCTTCCCCGTCTCACGACGTGCTCTAACGCAGGTAGATTTATTTTTTGTATACGTTGAAGTAAAATTTTTATATATTTTAAACATCGAGGGCTTATATTCAATAATACCCTCTATCTGCACACTTTTCCCAAAGATGAGATTCTGATATAAAAATTCACCTAAGCTTTAATGTCATCGGTGATATTAATGCTACATTATATAACGACAGGTAATAAGTCCCAGACACACAAATTAGTTTAGCAGATAGAGGGTATTAATGAATTCAAGCCCTCGATATTTCACATTTTTATATTTGTAAGTTATTGGAAGCAGGGATGCCAACTTGGCTCAAACCGTGCCATTTGTTCCTATTTTACTTCAAATGGTACTTAATTTTTCAATTTGGCACAAAGTGCCAAAATGGCACTTTTGTAAAAAAAAAATAACATTACAATACATTTTTGTGAAATCGTTTGCGTGCACTTCTTTTTGTCAACTAAAATTTTCTAATTTATAGAGGCTATTCAACTGATTTATCTTATTTTATCATTGCACTTTTGTTTGGAAAATTTGGTTTTATTTTATTGCTAAATGTGAATGATTAACTGGAATGACACCTTTTTTGGCACTTTTATTTTTCTATTTGGCACATTTTGGCACTATTTATCCTCAATATGGCACCTCATAACTAAGGAGAGTTGGCAGCCCTGATTGGAAGATTTCTGCCGTGTTTTGGGGCAACAACTTGTCTGCAGTAAAAAAGCATGTAATTTGTGTTTCAAAAGTGTGTGAAAACCAATCAATTAACTTATATGATCTCGGTTCCGATATTAAATAATCAATAATTGTTTATACCCGCATTTTGGCACATTGGCTCGTTGAATGTGCCATCTAATAAATAGTGTCGTCGTTCTCCTTAGCTGCTTTTAAATGATGTCGTCACAAATTGCTGGCGGAGACATGAATACAGTGTAAGAAAATTTTTTTTCTAAAATTGTTTCCTTATTGAAAGGTTGGGTTCTTTACCTTACCTTACCACCTTAGACATTCCGAATTCGTTCAAAATATGCTAATTTAAAACACAGAATTCTTTCAGTGCTCCTCCATGTTTTGCAAGTTATGGATCATTTCTACACTATTTCTTCAAATATTTCTCGTATTCCAGCTGTGCGCAGGCGTTTAGTTTTTCGCATCGTGTTTTTAGATATTCGTAATTAGATTTTTTTTAATAAAATCAATTGGTGGTAGTTCATGATTGTGTGTGGATTAATATCACAACACTGAGCATTTGGCAACAACCTTTTTCATCTATTAAAAAACAACACTTACGGGGCAATGTTTATTGTACGAACAACATTTTTTTCTATGAATCGACATACTTTAAGCATTGTTGACGCTATTTCCATTTGAATGAGGAAATAGCGCCAATGACTTTATTTCCAAATTTTTGTTGACTTTATTTCGCTTTTGAAAAGGTAATAATGTCAATTGACTTTATTTCGCACCAGAGTTGAAAATAAAGTCAATTGACCTTATTTCCGTTGATCTTATTACCTGTCCCCCTAATAATTATTTGAAATCGCTGCATATGCCTGTTTATTGAAATATTTTAATATAAAAAATTATCGATTAACAAATCAGCTAATAAATAAATTAAATCGAATAACCCAACGGTCATAATTGTGTTTCAAAGTAGTCACTACGATAATCACCTCACTTTTCCTCCAAAATCCCTCCAAAATACTTCACTCGAAAATTAGCAAATGATTACGATTGCATTCCGATAACGAATAAAATTTTTTCAGCCGAGTACATTTCAAATCTTTGGAATTAACTACATTAATTAAGTAAACAAGTATTTACTTATATACATTCTTCATTGGAAAATCGCTCACATTTATACATTTTTAAATGTACCGAACTCCTTTATTCAAATTAGCGTCGACAAAAACGCAACCATTTGCCACAATCGTATGTATGTATATTTTTCGTGATTGCAAATTCTTGCTGACTAAATTTTTGCCAACAAGAATTTGCGACTTCTCTCCAAGCTCCCTGCCACTTTCCGCTCTCAATATTTGAGTGATTGATAATTTTTTGGTCTGCTCGAACGCGATTTGAACAAAAAATCTTTATAATTCGTACAAATTCGTACAAATTTTTTACTCGACGAACAGAAGTATTGTTCACTTTTTAATAACAAAATAAACAACTTATCGTTGTAAAAAATTTGTGCTTTTTGAATAATTTAGTTAAATAATATATTTCATTAGCGCTTTAAAAGTAAAAACTGGCGATTTAATGCGTTTTCGACCGTGTAATTGCTCGTACAAAGGAACTATACCCCATATAAGTTGTCTGTTAATAACTTTAAAATGGTTAACAATATTAACCTTCAAAAAAATTAATGATAATTTTTAGCCAAATGGCTTGCACTTTTTCTACTAGAATCCAATGGGCTACAAACCTGCACACTCAAAATCTTTCTAAGAAATCTAATTAAAAAGCTCGAAATATTTACGAAATGTTGTTTAGTTATTTTAATATTACAAAAAGTTTGAGATATGGGTAACGAAATAAATTAATTGTTAAAATTGTCAATATGTATATCATGAATATTTTGTACATTAATCCTCAGGCGCAGAACAACCGACGCCGCCGCGCCGATGTTTCCATGACTCGGCGGCATCCCAAAATACGGCGGCGGCGTAAACCTCTAATATGTACTCGTAGTTGGTATGATTATTCTTCTTCTTTATTGGCGCTGTAACCGCCTAAGCGATTTCGGCCGTCTCCAAAACAGCACGCCAGTCATTTCTCTTCTGTGCCAACTGACGCCAATCGGAAATGCCAAGTGAAGCCAAGTCCTTCTCCACCTGGTCTTTCCTACGCAGAGGAGGCCTTCCTCTTCCTCTGTTACCAATATCGCGGCCCGCGTTGAATATTTTCAGAGCAGGAGCGTTTCTGTCCATTCGAACGACATGGCCAAGCCAGGGGAGCCGCTGAATTTTAATTCGCTGCACTATGTCTATATCGTTGTAAAGCTCATACAGCTCATCGTTAAATCGTCTGGGATATTCGTCATCACCTTTCGCAGTATCTTTCTCTCGAAAACTCCAAGGGCCGCCTCATCAGATGCTTTCATTGTCCATGCCTCCGCGCCATACACCAGCACAGGCATGATCTTTGTACGACGAGAGAGGACTTTACTTCTCAATTGCCTACTCAGCCCAAAGTAGCACTTGTTGGTAAGAGTGATTCTCCGTTGGATTTCAAGGCTGGCATTATTATTGGTGTTAATACTGGTTCCCAAATAAACTGAGTCGTGCACTTTTTCAAACTTGTAACTGTCTACAGTGACGTGGGTGCCAAGACGCGTATGCTCTGACTGTTTGTTTGATGACAGGAGATACTTCGTTTTGTCCTCGTTCACCACCAGACCCATTCGCTTGGCTTCTCTATCCAATCCCGAGAGGGCAGAACAGACGTAGCCCTTGTTTTTACCGATAATATCGATGTCGTCGGCATACGCCAGCAATTGTACGCTCTTGTAAAGTATTGTGCCTGAGCGGTTCAGTTCTGCGGCTATTATTATCTTCTCCAACAACAGATTAAAGAAATCACATGAAAGGGAGTCCCCTTGTCTGAAGCCTCGTTTGGTATCAAACGGCTCGGAGAGGCCCTATTCTGATAGAGCTGGTGGTATTGCTCCACGTCATTTTACACAGCCGTATTAGTTTCGCGGGGATACCAAATTCAGACATCGCGGCATAAAGGTAACTTCTCTTCGTGCTGTCGAAAGTGGCTTTGAAATCAACAAATAGATGGTGTGTGTCGATCCTATTCTCGCGGGTCTTTTCCAAGATTTGGCGTATTGTGAATACCTGATCTATGGTGGATTTTCCAGGCCTAAAGCCACACTGATAAGGTCCAATCAGCTCGTTGACGGTGGGCTTCAGTCTTTCGCACAATACGCTCGATAAGACCTTGTAACCTATGCTTAGAAGGCTAATTCCGCGGTAGTTGGCGCGTATGGCGGGGTCGCCTTTCTTGTGGATTGGGCAGAG